AAAGGGGTCGTGCAAATGACATTTGACCATTTTCGTCTCGATCACCTGGCAACACTGGGAGCTATGGGGAAAAGTATTTTTTTCGACATGGGTGTCTTTAAAGTTAAGGACGGACAGAAGGTGATATGGGAGGAAAAGTCTAAAAATGGGGTTTGGTCGGATATACGATCCAGACTATGGGAAAAATCCGAAATGTCAGAAAATCAAGATGGCGGCTGAGCTGGCGGCCATTTTGTAAAAAGTGTCAGAATTTCGATTTTTCAAATGCATTTTTCGGGCAGTTGGCAACATTTGGGAAAGTCGAGTTGTATGGGGCGATTACGTAGTTTGTCAAGGAGTATCGATTGGAAAACCAAAAATTTCCAGTGTTGCCATGCTTTGGGAGATTTGGTCCAAAAATGTAAAAAATGGAAGTAACGACTTTCGGTCAAAAATTTGGATGACGCCTCCTGCAAATAGGTCAAACTAATGACATTTGACCATTTTTAGCTCGATGACCTGGCAACACTGGGAGTTACGGAAACTCAAAATTTTGGGACATGGGTGGTTTTAAGGAATTGTTTTACGGGATTGGGTTAAGTTAGAAAAAAAGTAAAAATGGGGTTCGGCGCAGAAAATGGTCCAGATTAAGGGAAAAATACAAAATTTTGGAAATCCAAGATGGCCGCCAAGCGTTCACCCGTTTTCCTAAAGGGACTAAATTCTCCATACAAATTGTATGCAGGGGGGCTTAGCTAACGTAGAAAAAGGCGAGGCCGAAGGCCGAGCGATAGTTTAAAGCCTATGAGTCGCCATGGATTTATTTTTAATGCGTCAAAAAAGGACTAGAGCCCAGTGACAGACAGAAAGGCGAGGCCGAATCTATATTATATAAAGCTCGATTCCTACTCACTGACTGACTCACTGACTGATCAGGGGTATTTTTAGGGTATTTAGAGGGGAGGGGGGTAAAATTGTTGGTGTTTGTTTTTTACTAGATTTTTTGACACCCAGGTTTTATAGATTTTTTGAACCAAAAAACAAAATGGCGGCACTTTTTGAAACACCAACTTTTTTGTTTTCGGTCCTGAATTTTTTCTTTTTTGGTGGTTTGTTAGGGTTGCCAAGGTGTGTTCAAAAATGTGAGAAAAAAACGGAAAAACAAAATGGCCGCGCCGCCATCTTGGATTGAAAACGCGATTTCGAGGTGTTTTTAAGGAGGTGTCACTCCGAGATGCGCCATTGTTTTTGAAAAATNAAGGCGGATTTTTTTTTTCAATAAAGCGGGCGCGCGCGCTGCTATAAACGAGGTCACAAAACTCGGAAAGAACATAGCGAAATCTATTTATTCACCAATTTTCAAAAATTCCGGAAATCTTTCCAAATAAAATTAACAAATAACTGGATTATTTACTTGTTATTGAGCACAAAGACACAAACTTGGTTATTTTTCCAGAAAATTTATATTTAAGTGCATAAATGTAAAAATGGCTTCATAGTGCACCAAATTGGCAATAGGTGGCATAATAATGGTTAGTTTTTAGCGCCTAGTTTGAAATGTGATTGAACGATGACAACTAACAACAGTTGTCAGTTAGGTAAAATTTTATTTTAGTTGGAAAAAGACAAAAAGTGGTAAATGGGTTAACGTGCGGGGGCTGCAAAATCATGTTGTGACGTCACGCGCGAATATTGGAAATTTTTGAAAATTTTAAAAAGTCCGTAAACTTCTCGAGGCTCTATCTTCGGTAATACTGCATGGATTGAGGTGAAATAAAAACTAGTGTAATATGTGTGATCTAAACTTTAAATTAAGTCATAATTTAACTTAATATTACAACTTATGCGTGTTGTCCATTATCTTTATCTTTTACAGAACTTCTACAAAAACGAAATCGATCGTAAAGAGATGTACTTACGATATGTCTACAAACTACACGACCTTCATATTGCATCTGACAACTTCATCGAAGCTGGATGTACACTTTTAGTAAGTCATTACTTTATTTCTACTGATGCATAAGCATTTATTTCTGTTCTATAAAATAACATCAGGTGCGATGCCCGTCAAATACCTGCCTTTTTCTGCATAGAAAACTTATTTATTGTTAATAATTTCAGCTTTATGCAGAGACTTTGAGCTGGGATAGCGATCAGATTGGTGTGGACCCAGAATACCCTGAAACGCCGGAATGGAAACGCAAGGAAGCCCTGTACAATCAAGTACTGCAATATTTCGACAGGGGAAAAGTGAGCATCCTTTTCACTCATAGGGTAGAGAGGGTTAATGAGAGTTTTCGCGAATGAAAAATCCGCCAGATGGTAATACGTAGACGCGAGGTCCAAATGCTGCACGATTGATTATTTTTGACATGACATTGACATATATCTCAAAATCCACCAATCACGAAGCAGTCAGACCCCACATCCACGTCCCGCCATCTAGCGGATCTTTCATTCGCGAAAACCCTCATTGCTCGTTGTCTTATTGGTAGTAAACCACGGGCAAATTTTCTCCGTAGCTCTTATTAGTAGAACCATGGGGACCTAGCATTACCCGCAGTCCTAGTGACAGTATGTATGACGGGCATTTTTACTTGGGACATCAATAGGACTACGGACAAAAAAATTGCCCGTGGTACTACCAGTAGGACAACGCAGATATTGTTGTCTGGTGCGCCTATATTACAAATTTTGTTTAGAACTAGATGTCATGTTTAAAATATCCTAATATTATAAATGCGAAAGTTTGTATGGATGTCTGGATATGAACATGTTTGTTACTCTTTCACCCAAAAACTACTGAACGGTATTTGATGAAACTTTACAGTATTATTGTTTATAACCCAGAATAACATATAGGCTATAATTTATGACGATCTGTGACAAACTAAATTTCACGCAGGTGAAGCCGCGGGCATAAGCTAGTCTAATTTTTTATAGTTACTTTTGTGAAGCCTCAATGTAACCTTGTTGGTGTTCAAATAAATAAATAAATAAGCATATTGGTTTATGAATTATATCTCCATTACAGTGTTGGGAAAAGGGTCTCCCCTTACTTCGCGAGCTAGCAACGCTGTACGAAGTGAAGCTTTGCGACTACGCGCGTTTGGCTCACTGCCTCAGGACGCACGCCACGTTCTTAGACTCTGTGCTGGAACAACTGAGGCCCGAGCCGGAGTACTTTAGAGTGGGCTTCTATGGGAAAGGATGCCCGTTGTTTGTGAGGGTAAGTCTTATGAGATACGTGTATTAACATATGATTACTGTGTCTACAATCTTTGGAGCTAGCAACGCTCTACGAAGTGAAGCTTTGCGACTACGCGCGTTTGGCTCACTGTCTACGCACTCACGCGACTTTCTTAGACTCCGTGCTGGAACAACTGAGGCCCGATCCGGAGTACTTTAGAGTGGGCTTCTATGGGAAAGTCTGTCCGTTGTTTGTGAGAGTAAGTGTAGTTTGTAAGGATAAGTCTAGTGAGGTAACGTAAGAACATGTGTCTTCACGACTACGATCTTTGTGCCTGCAGAGCTAGCAATGCTCTACGAAGTGAAACTTTGATCTTTGTGTCTGCGGAGTTAGCACGAAGTGCATCATGCTTATAAATGTTTAGCGATGATTCCGTTTTCACATTACCATTTTAAAATACCTAATCCTGCTGTAAGACTATTTGTTTGTATTGAGCTATCTACTGATGTCTGAATGTAATTAAACGCCATAAATCCGCTTCAGTTTAGCTTGAAGAATCGAATATGAAGAATGCCACTTACTCATTTATGGTATACTCTGTGTAGGATATATTTTTTAGAACGGATTTGTATTGCAGAATAAACAGTTTGTGTACCGCGGCCAAGACTACGAGCGCATCGGAGCGTTCACGCAGCGTCTGCAAGCGGAATATGTCTCTGCGCACATTCTCATGCGCAACACGCCACCAGACGAGTCCATCATCGCTTCTGATACACAATGTGAGTAAAAATGATTATTTCACGTGAACATTTGTGGTTTAAACGACCCCGAGGACTAGAATTTTAATGCACGAATAACCACGACAATACACGCCGATGCTGTACAGACGACAGCACATTATATGACGCATAGTGGCTACATTCACATAATAGGTAAAAGATTCAATTTATCGTTTGTTGAAATGAAATAATCAGTATTCCCTTTGAATTAAGATTTAGCATAATATGAAACTGAAATCATTAGAGTATGTGTTGATTAATCTTTACGGATTTTAGATGCGTTTAGTCTAAGCTTCTAGCCGAACGTCTCCTAGGTCAGAAGGCTTCTTTTAGTAATTATCATTCCCAAAAAAGGATCGAATTATTGGTTAACTGAGTTGTTATTGCTTTTAGACATCCAAATCTGCAACGTAAAGCCGGTAGCAAAAAGGCGCACGTGGCCTAACGGCGCGCCCGACCAGCTCAAGCGCTTCTACGGCACCAACGACGTCGACACCTTCCTGTGCGACCGGCCGCTCCACAAGCCGCCCATAGACAAGGACAACGAGTTCAAGGTACCGTAGACTACTGCCAGGGACCATAGACACGAGGCCACGTGGCCCAACGGCGCGCCCGACCAGCTCAAGCGCTTCTACGGCACCAACGACGTCGACACCTTCCTGTGCGACCGGCCGCTCCACAAGCCGCCCATAGACAAGGACAACGAGTTCAAGGTACCGTAGACTACTGCCAGGGACCATAGACACGAAGCCACGTGGCCCAACGGGGCGCCCGACCTTAGTGAATTAGTAACCAATGACCATAGACTATTGTTAGATATGGAATCCCAACTAATATTATAAATGCGAAAGTAACTCTGTCTGTCTGTCTGTCTGTCTGTCTGTTACGCTTTCCCGCTTAAACCTCGCAACCGATTTTGATGAAATTTGGCATAGAGATAGTTTGAGTCCCGGGAAAGAACATAGGATAGTTTTTATCCCGGTTTTTGAAACAGGGACGCGCGCGATAAAGTTTTTCTGTGACAGACAAAATTCCACGCGGGCGAAGCCGCGGGCGGAAAGCTAGTTTAAGATATACGACTATACTTTACAGGAGTAAAGAGCTACCCCAAACATTACGTCGAAAACACGACTTGCGGTTGCCTGCTACAAAATTCAAAAAGAGGATTTGCTTATAATTCAATATTCTTTGTATTTTCAGAGTCTCTGGATTGAACGAACTACGTTAGTCACAGAAAATACTCTGCCTGGCATACTGCGTTGGTCAGAAGTGGTGTCGAGGTCCGTTGAAGAGATTCCGCCAGTCGAAGTAAGTTAATTAAAACAATTGATGTGATTATGAGCACCCAGTCTACACATTTTTGTTGCCAAGTTGTGACTGACTACACCACATCAAGTTTCACATTATGACAAAAAATAACAACTTTTGTTTTACTACACTTTTCTATTCGCTACAGGCTTTACATAAATTCTTATATTATTCCCACAGTTCGCATGCGAGACAATGGAAGCAACCGAGCGCGAACTACGCAGTCTAATTTCCCAGTACACTGCAGACCCCACTCGCAACATAAATCCATTCTCTATGCGGTTGCAAGGCACCATCGATGCGAACGTCCAAGGCGGAATAACCAAATATGAGCAGGCTTTCCTTACTGGAGAGTTCAGTAGGAACGCCACGCCGAGAGAGGCTGCGGCCGCTGCTAAGTTACGGAGGCTTGTGGCGTCTCAGTTGGCAGTTGTGGACGCCTGCCTGACATTGCATGGCAGACTGGCGCCGGAGGAAGTTAAACCACTGCATAGGTAAGTTACTATTCACAAGATTCGGGTCAGTAGGCTGCAATTTTCACGCCGAGAGAAGCCGCGGCCGCTGCCAAGTTAAGGCGGCTTGTGGCGTCTCAGTTGGCAGTTGTGGACGCCTGCCTAACATTGCATGGCAGACTAGCGCCAGAAGAAGTCAAGCCACTGCATAGGTAAGTTACTATACGCAATATTCGCGTCAGTAGGTTGCAATTCTTACTGGAGAGTTCAGTAGAAACGCCACGCCAAGAGAGGCCGCGGCCGCTGCCAAGCTAAAGCGACTTGTGGCGTCTCAGTTGGCTGTGGTAGACGCCTGCCTGACATTGCATGGCAGACTAGCGCCGGAAGAAGTCAAGCCTCTGCATAGGTAAGTTACTGCTCAAGATTTGCGTCAATAAGCTCCAATTCTCATTGGAGTTTAGTAGAAACGCCACGCCGAGAGAGGCCGCGGCCGCTGTCAAGTTAAGGCGGCTTGTGGCGTCTCAGTTAACTGTAATAGTGGACGCGTGCCTAACTTTACATGGCAGACTAGCGCCAGAAGAAGTCAAGCCACTGCATAGGTAAGTTACTATTCACAAGATTCGCGTCAGTAAGCTGCAATTTTACACTGAGAGAAGCCGCGGCCGCTGCCAAGTTACGGAGGCATGTGGCGTCTCAGTTGGCTGTGGTGGACGCCTGCCTGACATTGCATGGCAGACTGGCGCCGGAAGAAGTCAAGCCACTGCATAGGTAAGTTACTTTACGCAATATTCACGTCAGTAGGTTGCAATTCTTACTGGAGAGTTCAGTAGAAACGCCACGCCAAGAGAGGCCGCGGCCGCTGCCAAGCTAAGGCGGCTTGTGGCGTCTCAGTTGGCTGTGGTGGACGCCTGCCTGACTTTACATGGCAGAATAGCGACGGAGAATGTCAGAGGTAAGTTGCTACATAAGAATAAGCTTTAAAGCTAAACTAGGTTCGCATCACCAGATGCGGTTTATAGTATCGGCTGGACTAGTAGAAATGTAACGCTTATTGGACAGTCTAGCTACGGTCCAGTGAAGCAAGTTTTGGCTGTAGATTAATTAGTTAAATTCAAGCCAACACATAGTTTCGACTTGCAAGTTATGCACATGTCAAAATAGTGAAATATTGTTCAAAAACCCCTTAGAAAGTAACACTACTCAGTTTTTACCCTCGAAATATTTGCATGTACTTAATCTGAAGGCGTTAAAGTGCGTTCTTGGTCTTACATTCATTCATATTCTTTCTTGCAGGCGATTGGTGGAAAGGTTCAACCAACTACGGCAAAACCTGGGGCCAGGGTTGGCTCGTGCACGTAGACAACTCTCTGAAAGCATCGTAAAGTAAGTGATAATCGAGATGTCAAATCGATCATCAAATAAAAATAATAATAAAATGTTTATTGCCATTAAATCAATATACAGAGTATTCTTATGACTAGCGGCTTCTGAGTGATAACTACATGGTTTACCTCGATGTACGCATGTCATGATGATGTTAGATTTTAGAGTTATACTTTGTTTTCTTTTCAGTACTCCATTACCACCTGTACCTAATCTGGATAAACGATCTCAAAGTATACAACAGAGTGACAACTATTATGAAGATGGACATCTTTACAACAAACCTATAGTAAGTATACAATAATATGCATGAGTAAAATATACATATTACTTTGATATGAGTTGGTACCATAATATGCTGAAAATGCTGAAATCTATCTGAAAATAAATTAATTTATGTGTCTTACAATGAATGACGATGCGATGTATGTAATAAAACAGGCTAAATAGTGCTGTTCCTTTGAATTCCTTTAAAATATAACTTTTTATTAAATCTATACTAATATTATAAAGAGGAAAGATTTGTACCTATTTTGTATGTTTGTAATGAATAGGCTCAAAAACCACTGAATGGATTTTGATGAAACTTTACAGTATTATTGTTCATAATCCAGAATAACATATAGGCTATAATTTATGACGATCTGTGACAAACGAAATTTCACGCGTGCGAAGCCGCGGGCGGAAAGCTAGTCTTTAATAAATTGGTTTAGGTATATTATTTGGGTAAATAAATACGGAACTACTCTACATTTCGACCATTGAACAAAATTTATAGTTTTTTATTTGGGAAATAGTAACTAAACAATGTGCAAAAGTGAGATCATTTTCAATGGACTTTGCCATTGGGAGGCTAATAAATGATTATGTTAATTTGTAAATTCCCAATCATTTGTTCCTTCAGTACTCACTAGAAGACTCGTCGGAGCCGAGCGTGATGTCTCACAGCGTGGGCGGCGACAACCGCGACTGTTCGATGGTGGAAGATGCCGCCATGGTGAAGTCCGCGCCGCCTCTGCCCACCAGGCCCAAGTCGGGCGACCCAAGGAGCCCTACCAGACCTCCTTTGGAGAATTATCGGTAAGAGACATTCAGTTTGATTGATCAATGATCAATAATAAAAAAGCTTCTTCTTTAAACCTGTACAGTGTCAACCCAAAACTTCGCTACAAGAGTGGTATTGTCAGTCAGTAGCATTCATCCAACTTTCCTATGCGTGCAGTTGTTTGGGCATTCTGTTTCTTCTGTTTGTCGATATTGTTCAATATAATCAGGGCTAAATTCGCGACAGCTTTTGATTACTGTCTTGAGTCCTTTAGATAAATAATACACTCGCGAGCAAAAGTATGGAATCACCCCATTCGTTTTGAGTAATCTTTGTAGCTAAACGACTATGAAGATAAAATTAAAAATGGTACCAGTTTTGCTCGTAAGTATAGAAGATGTATGTGATGTTATTAATTCAAACTCGACAGAAAAAGTTATATTATCTACAGTTATGGAAACGTAGTTTTGATTTCGAATCTCATACGAATTTGTAACCTCGAAGTAACATTCGTGGATTATTAATTTCGCGATCGCTTTAAGGACAGAAGTAGTTGCTTACCTTTTTTTTTTTTTTTTTTTTGCGCAGGAAAATACTTTGCGTATACCCGCCGCCTCGGGGGAAGCGACGGGTTATGTGGGACTCCCTTGTCGGGTGGCAGCAATAGCGGCTGTCACCCGACAAGTATACCCACTAAAAACCTGCGGTGCACCCTCTGCGTTTTACTGGCACGACGTGGGGTCCTACAGATTCAGACCACGCCGTGCCGACGCATGGCCCAGCCTTTGCCGGGCCTCCCGCGCTAAAGAGGGGGTCTGCCGGTACACTGGCAGACCCCCCCAGACAGGGTGGGACCGTGCAATGTGGGTGATGGGCCCCCCGGCCTAACACCCACTGGTCTCACCTAGGGAGGCGGAAGGAGGCGAGCGAATCTCCTCCTTCTTCCCCCCGGCCGTCTGCGCCGGAGCGCGTGGGCTTCGGGATCTACTTCCCTAGCCCGTTCCGCGGTCTCCTTCTGCAACATCACCTCTTCGCAGAAGGAGACCATGGCGTTCCACGCGCTCTCGCCCAGGAGCATCGCAACCACGACGCTGGGGAGCGCGAGGTCCGGACCAGTCACCGCAGTCAGAGCCCGGCGCTGCTGGACCCATGCTGGGCACACCTCAAGGGTGTGCTGAGCCGTATCTTCCGCAGCGCCGCACTCGTGACATTCAGGGCTCGGCTCTCTACCGATCAGATGCAGGTACCAACCGAAGCATCCGTGTCCGGTTAGCACCTGCACCAGACGATAGGTGAGGAAGCCGTGCCTCCGATGCACCCACTGGTCCAGGACCGGGCGGATCGCCTCTATGGTTCTCACGCCATAGCGGCAGTCCACCAACTCCCGCTCCCAGCGCCGCAGAAGCTCCTNGACCGTTATAGTAGTTAAGTATAAGATTGTGATTTAACAACATGTAAGATTTTTTCAAAGGCAAGACTTTCTTAAATACACATTCACTATAGCCCCGGTTAATTGCTTTTTTAGTTAAAGTGACCCCGACGAAGGTTAGTTAAGTACTCAGTAATAGTTCAAAATATTTGTAAAGTCTAATATAAAATCCGAGGTCCATATTAAAAGTGACTCTTATATTTATTTACTCATTTGATATTACGTACCTCCTTTGCTACTACGTTCATTACATAAATTATGAAGCACCTAACTGTGCGAAGTACAGTATATACGTTGTTTGTGTAATATATCTTAAATTTTCCGTAGTCTAGAGACGGAAATTGTGATCTTTGTCGCGCAATCGAGTTAAATATCATTTCTACTACGTCGAGGGCTCTCAATTTAATTATTTGAGGACACGGCAATGACGTCGACGTAGATTAGCTCGAAACATAAATGGGATTAACTACGATATCTATATCTAGTTAAATATAAATGAGCTTTGAACTTACTTTTGATCACTTCCAATATTTATCATCAATTAGTAATTACGTCCAGACCATTGAGTATTCAATCCCAAGTAAAGGGAACGAGTGATAAAACGATGTAGTAGCTACATACGGAGCACTCTAAATGCGATACAGATAATATAATAAAATAAAATTGCGATGCGAATTCGTGAGAAAATTTAAATAAATGACTTTTCTGTTTGCACATAAAAAGAAATATATTGCGGCACAATGAATGTTGGGGGTGGTGTGGGGGAGGGGGCGCGGGGGGCGAGAGACGGCGCCGGGGAGGGCCCCGGGGGTGAGGGGGTGACCCACTTTAACGGGACAAGTAATATTACTTTTTACTTTTAGGTAACTATTTCATGTTTTATCGCGATAATAACATATATTGAACAAACTTTCCTTTTTGGTTAAATTATTATTTTTTTTAAATTTTTTTGGTAGTTAATCTCGCTCATCTCATCAATTGGAATGATTACATTAATGAAATTCTCTGGTAAGCTGGCTGTTTAAACGTATTTAATATTTTACTCTATACTCACTTTGTATCGTCGTTTTTATAAATAAAGTATAGTTAGTCTTTTATTACCTCTTACAATTATTTATTAAGCTAATAGCATAATTAATTATTTATCTTAAAAAATATCTCGAATACTAGTATTTGGCCCTAAAGCTATAAAAAATTAAGCCATTAGAAACTTATATTTGCAGTTTAACAGTATGAAAAAACTGTATTTCAACTGCTTAATTCACTTTGTTTTGAAATCCTGAATTAATATTAGAGATGAAACGGATATCCGGTAACTATCCGGTAGGCCGGATATCCGGCCTAAATTTACTATTCGGCCGGATACCGGATAGTAACTCACTATCCGGCCGGATACCGGATATTAAATAACTACGACAATTTCCTATTAATAAAAGGCATGTATTTAAATGATCTTTTTAAATTAGCAAAAACGGCAAATAAAAAAATCTAAATGGTCATCTATTTTAATGATTGATCCTCTTTCTTTGAGACATAAAATAAATGAAATCGATCGATATATTAACCTCTTTTGAACTACGCAAAAAAAATTTGAGATGTAAAAATTATATCTGATCGTTACTTGTTGGTCCTCAAAAATAAAAGAAATGAGCACCAAATATTCAATATTGTGATACTTTTTTAAATAATTCGATTTGTATAAATTATTTTTTGTCTATATCAAATAATCTTCAAAATAATTATGTTATGGTACTTATTTTTATTAAGTTGTAGTCAAAGGATGGAAACTATTTAAAGGCACTTGATGTTCAAAGATTTTTTTTTATTAAAAAAGCATACTTAACACGTTCACACTGCGTTATCGGGTCGAATTGACCTTAGGTGCTGGATGCGTTGGTGCGGGATGGATATATTCGGTCTTTTCAGTAGTACGAAAGATAAATATGGTTTTGCAATAGTTTCATCAAACACAGTAAATATTTGGAAAAAAAAAACTTATCAGGTCCTTACGACCCGATGTCGCACTAAAAGTAAACAAATATCGTTTAGTGCTTTTATCGTGTCTAATCGACCCGTTGACAGATGACTTTATGGTCACTGATCACGGTCGAGATCGGTATACTAAGAGAAAATCAACCTTGCGATTTGAAAAAAATAAAGAGGTAAAAATTATGATGTCGGGTTCAGGGATGTCAGAAGTAAGAAATTATTTTACATAGCGCCTCTAGTCCCAAACTAAGCAAAGCTTGTAATTTAAACAAACATGGCAATGTACCATTCTGCTTGCTTATTGGCCGCTAAGCCCTTGGCCAACTCAGTAACCAATGACGGACGACTGTCACTCAACCGTAAAGTACCGCGTAAATTAAAAGATATTTTTTAATTAAAAATATTAACCAATAATATTTTTTGTTAGGTCAAATATATTTTAAAGTTAAGTTATACATAGATCGAAATGTATTTATTAGGTGATCAATATTAAAAGGCAAACTTGATATAAAAATCATCAAATTGACAAAATTAAAGATCAATAACTAAAAAAGAGGATCAAATATTATTTTTGTTTACCAAATATTAAAAGAGTATGTTAAACATAAATATTATGTTACCTTTAATGAAGATCATTCATAATTTATCCGTAGATCAACTAATATAGACCCAATAATTAATATAAAGATAAAATATAATAAAAAACATCATTTATTTTTAATAGTGCACATACAAAAAAGATCAATTAGTTTTTAGAGGATCAAATAATATTGTCCCTTAATAAAATGAAATACATTAATCTTTGAGGTAAATATCAATAAAATGGCTTACAATAATGACGGCTTTTATTTAAAGTCCAAAAAGTTACAAAAAAGCCATATTAAGGCCTTTCAAACCTAATTTCTTTTTCTGGGCTATTCACTCAAATGACGAATACATAAATAGTAAATATCTGTTGATGTCGAAAAATTGCTAAATAAAATAGGCGATTTTTTTCACTGAAGGTCTGATGACATGATGCAACTAATTAAATTTTCGCTATTTAATCACACACTCACGATTGCAACCGAAATTGAATTGATCTGCCCCCTAGACAAGTGGCAAAATCTGATATTCTATTCGGACGGATTCGATTTTCGAAAAGTGTGACTAGTCTAGTGTACTAATAGACCCACTGATCGCGTTCAAACTGTTCAAAGCACCTGTGCGGCGCTATACTCGTCACGACATGCAACGACACAATGGGCCAACTATCCGGCCGCCGGATATCCGGCTATCCGGCCTAGCAGCTGGCCGGATATCCGGTATCCGGTATCCGGCCAAACAACTATCCGTTTCATCTCTAATTAATATCTTTCTAGAAATGTCCATGTGGACTAAAAATGAAGACAACTTGATGATACAGTCGACGTATAGGAGAAAAATGATGATGTAGCCTTATTTATTTGAAAATGCATTAACTGCAAACCTTAAAAGTAAGTGCAAGAATTCCCTTTTTTGCCTCAAGGAATTTTTCCGCGTCTGCCATAGCAGCGGAAACCGTTAACATAATAATAATATGGTTAGTCGTTTGATGTAGCCAATGGAATTTTTCTTGAATTTTTTAATCTTTTTTAAAATCGGTAAGATTTTCAGATTTTGGTTTACTAAGGAATCCGATCTTGCTACTTTCATGTCCTGGGCTATTATTAATTAATATGCAATATGCATGGAGCTCATTAACCTACCACAAAATATCATTTCTTCAAATAATTTTGAACCTTAAGACCACATCCTTAAAGTACAAAATCCATTATCCCAAATTTTGAAGACAGGTTGACCTGCTGATGCTTGTACAGCAATAGCACATCAGACTATACATTTTAATTGGAAAATAGCACCTATTACAACTAATATAAGATACTCCAGTATTTACCTTAATGTATCTGTACCTTCCTTGTTTAATACATACTCTCGCCCTATACTAACTTTCACTCTCATACCATAAATAAACTCATGTTTTTATGTAGTAAGGGTGCCTTATTCGTTATATTCGTTTGAATTAATTATGATTTCCTGCATATTAATTGAATATTGACTTCCAGCCACAGCTTCCAGCGCACGATGTTTTGATGGAAAACGTACTTAATAATTAGGATTACTAATGTTTGGCCAAAAAACGTTTCCCAAATTATCACATCGCAAACAACGTTTCGCAAATTTTCATTTGGCAAATTCTCATTTGGCAAAACAACTTATTGCAAACTTTT